CTTTTTTTGTTTTTTATTAACATAAACACGTTCTTGTTTCACACTCCAAACATTGTTTGATTAGATATGTTTGTAATTTTTCAGTCTTTCTGTTAGCTTCACATGGGAATACTAATGTTAGACGAAAAAAAAAACCTTGAGCATGTTTGACATTCTTTCCACTGTCATGAACAGCAAATATAATTTCTATTATCTCTGAAGTTAGCTTTTTGGTTACCTAAATTTTCCAAAGTTATTCATTGTACACTTCAGTATATCTTGGGAAATCATCAGGCATTTAGTTTATCATTTTAGACTAATTTTGCTTCTGTGATGTATATTATTTATTTTGTGTACTATGGATCAAATGTTTCACACTTGTGAATGAATTATAAAAACAACAACAACATAAAAATTACATTTTTTTTATACTACTAAAGTAATGTAACTGGTACGTGTACAAGTTATGTTGTTGAATTTTGAATTTGACTAACATATACCTCAGTTTTGTATTTAATTTATTGAGTGTTTTAATTAGTATTAAATTTTCTAATTCATAAAAGTGGAATAACATGACTTTGATGAAGTTGATTGTTGAAAAATGAAGTAGAGATAAGAGTGTCATAACTTGAGTTTGTTCTCAATTTCTGTAACACAAATATTTAATATTTCTACATGACAAAGAATCATGCAATTCTTGCATGTTGATTTTAGAAATATTTTAAGGAAATCAATCTACTTATTTGCAAAATTAGAATTAACATATTTTATACTTTCTCGAATATTTATATATGAGCCCATTTTCCAATATTGTATTTTATTATATAGTTTGATTGAAGGACATCAGACATATATTTTATTTTATTAAAAAAAAGTAGGTAATAAAACAGCAATAATATTTTCTTTCTTGGAAGTTACAAATGTTAATATACAATTATTTTCATTAGTGTGCAAGTTTGAATCTTTTTTTATTTACCAAAATCACAGAGTTAGCAGAGATTTTTGTCATGGAAAGAAGTATCTAACAAATGTATGTGTGTGTGTGTATATGTGAATTGAACAATTTTGTTTTTAATATATGGACAGAGAATGTATTGTGGAGTGTGGTCATCACAAAACATGTTCATAAATTACACTTTAAAAGTCCAGACATTTAATTGAAATACAACATGGTGTACTTTCCTTTATACACAGGGATACAGTCTGTGGTTGGCTAGCTAGATGGTGAGACATTTTTCTTATGCATTTACTGATAAAATATCCTTGTAAAAGTTTGATACAATCTAAGAGTATATAGTAATTAGTTGCTAGACTCACAGTGTGGTGGAGGTCATTAGTTGTTTTTTTTTGTCACTGGGTGTGTTTCTTTGTATCTTGAGAAAGTAGTTTTTAATTGTAACACTTTGTAAATGTAGACTTTTATTCTTTTGTTTTGACATTGTATTGTATTGTATAACATACAAACATATCAATTAGATATACTACTACAAGACATGGTGTTGTGATTCACTTTACAAATGTTTCAATTAATGTACCTCATATATATATATATATATATGCGTGTGTGTGTGCACAATAACAAAATATTGATATATATATATATATAGCCATCCTGGCAGTGGTATATGTATCCATTTAACACAACCATCAAGGATATGTAGGTACCCATATAAAAGTACATCATTAATAAATTATTATCCATGTCACAAATATGTAGAATATCATGCAAAAGTGCATTATAGACAGCTAGGTATCCATGCAGAAGTGAAGTACATCAAGCATAGCTAGATGTTCATGAAAAGGTATATCAAGGATAGCTAGGTATTCATGCAGAAGATAGTTAAGTGTCCACATAGAAGTACCTCAAGGATAGGGAAGTGTCCATGTACACAAAGACAACTAGGTATCCATGCAGAAATGCATCAAGGATAGTTAGGTGGCTATGCAGAAGTGAATCAAGGTTAATTAGATACCCATGTAGAAGTACATCAAGAATAATGAAGTATCCATGCAGAAGTACATCAAGGATAAATAAGTGGCCATGTAGAAGTATGTCAAGGATGAGTATGCAAAAGTACATCAATAATAATCAGATACTTGTATACATAAGTGCATCAAGGATAACTAGGTATCTACATAGATGTACAATGAGGATAGTTGGCTGTCTGTGCAGAAGAACACAAAGGATAACTAGGTATCTATGCAGAAGTACATTAAAGGTAACTAGTATCCATGCAGAACTACATCAAGGATAACTAGGTATCCATTCAAAAGTACATCAGATATAATTAGGTATTCATATAAAAGTACCTGATAGATATCTGATATATACTCATAAAGTGGATTATAGGTGTCATAATAATCAATATTCTAAAAGATATGCCTATCTTCATCATCATTTTCAAAGATGCACTTATTTGTGCTTGTTTTATAATTTATTTTTTATATGTGTTACCATCTCTATATACTTCTTTATACATCTATCTATGATGCATTTGTTGTCCTACAAAGGCAAGTTATAAGTGATGGAAGCAGATAAATATTCAGTTTACTGAATGTTATGTCAGGATTTTATCTTCAAAAAGTAATGCTTCTAACACAGGTTACATACAACTTACTTTTAAGTTGCAAAACTTCTAATTTGCATTGCTGTATAACCCTTAAACTGGTGAAGCATGAATTGTTGGTTGGTAATTAGATATGATATTATCTCACCTTGAAACTTGTAATAATTTCGAACACATCCTCCACTATTATATACTTTTCTTACTAAAATCCTATGATTGGAAAATAAAGAGAGATAGGATTCAAATTATAAGTTGCATGATAACTTTCTCAACTTTGAGTATTGCTATTTATAATCTATAGTTAATTTTTAAGCAGTAATAATAACCATGTGACCAACAGCTTATCTGAGAATGACAGCTTATAACTTGTATTATGAACAGATTGGTTTCAAGTACAGATATTTATAATCCATGCTATCTTAGGCTTATTTTCAACTAATAAAACGTTAGTTCATGCTACTATTAGATTGCTTTCAAGTGCAGGTATTTCTTACATGTCCTGCTAAGTATGGGTTAGTGTTAGCATGTTGTGTAATGAATTAGTAGGTCCAAGGCTTGAGAAGTGATATGCTGCTGAGGACAACCCACACTTTCTGGTTTGGGGGAAGGGGAAACTATTTAGTTAAGAGTAGCTATGTAAGTGCTAGGTGCTGCTAACTTGTTATGCTTTCTCTGATCAGCAGTTCTAAATTAAGGATGGCTATGCCTGAATCTGTGGGTGCCTCTTATCGGGCTATTTTCCACATTTTTCAGGTTGAGAATTTACTAAAAGAAATACTACCACAAATTCATCTTCATTTATTTATGATTACCTACATTGCATCACTACAAGCTTATCTTCAAGTAGTAATACTTGTAGCTTACACTACCTATGATTTATCTTAAAGTAGTGAGGAAATTCATGCAATTAGTTTAATATTTATTGACTTTTTCTTTTCTTAGTGGGAAGTTGTAAAAAATTTTCTCATTGTGGTTTATAGTATTTATATGTAAAAAATATTACAACTTCACTTTGTACTGTTCTCAGTAGTTTATTTTGGCATCCATGTTTGCTGTCAAATCCTATTTTAATGTCTCTCGGTGGGTCAGTGGTAAGTTGATGGAGTTTTAACACTAAAATCTGAGGTTTAATTCCTTGTGGAGAATAGAGCTCTGATAACCTATTGTGTAGCTTTGCTCTTAATTAACAAAACACAAACCTATTTTAAGTGTGTTAAGAAAAAGTGTAATTTCTTAAACTTGGTGATTCAAAACAACTCTGGGATTAAATACAATTTATATCTTTTTTGAAATAATTTTTGCTTCAGTAGTTTTAACATTCAGTGTTTGAGAAAGTATGTAAGATTAACAGAATTTTTTGATAATGTATGCACATTACTGATACACTATATATTCATGGCAATTTAATTCATATTTGGGCTATAAATGGTTGGTTGTTTAGAAACACTGCTTGTATAAACTTTAAAACAGACGTTTAATATCTTCCAAGTTGTGAGAATACTCGTGTTTTCTAAAATACAGAACTTTATTACATGTTATCTAACTAATTATTGTAGAGGTATAAATTATTAATTATATTTGCTTTTTCTTATTTACAAAACAAAATGTGTAAAACATGTGTAAGCAACATAATGAAGGATCTCTGTCAGAAAAAAGCGACACAAGTCACGTGTACACAAGCTGCTTCGACAACAAATATGTCGAATCTTTACATACCTCAAGTAACTAGAAAATGAAATGGGTACTCATACGAAGATATACCAGTTTCTTCAATTTGCTGGACATAACGCATTTGTATTTCTGTGTGATTGGACTGTTAAAACAGGTGCTAGAAAACCAACGACCTCATACATTAGTTGGACTGTGGAATGTCACTAAGAAGAAGTGACGTGCTTTGACTTGACAGCATTTTGTGAGGTTATTACAAAGATTTTTGTTTGTTTGTTGTTAAGTACAAAGCGATACAATGGGCTTTCTGGGCTGTGCCCACTACGGGTATAGAAACCTGTATTTTTATGAATATGCACAGTCGCCAGATTATGACCGGACGTGGTGACATGGACTGTAACAATATGGTGAGGCTTTAAAATCGTTTTAATGTAACGTACTTTATGCTATTCCATATTTTTAATAATCGAAATATTATCTCATTCAGTTTCTCATACACTTGGTAAAAATCAGTATGATCTCTTGCTATAGATGATATCGTGTGATAAGAGAAGCATAGAAGAAATACCTGAGTTTTACTATATAGAGTATTGTGTGATTTCTTGTTTCTAAAATAAAAAGGACATAGAGAAACACCCACGACTTCCTTAAAAGTGTATCATGTAATTTCTTTATAATAAAATAAGAGCACACATGAAAACCCATGTTTTGCAATATTATATTGTGTTCTCTGAGTCTTCTGGTGTGAAATTTGAACTGTTGTATTTATATCTTAATATCATTTAGTTCTGAGCACTTCCTGTATATTACAACTGGCTATTACACTCGTCTGTTGAAAACTTTTGTGATGATTTTAGTGGAAACAACAACATTGTACCTCTCTTTTTGGTCATCACTTTTGTAAGTATTGTTTAAATTCAGAGATATCTGGTTTTCTGTGACGTTGCATTGTTAGTGTAAACTATTGTGCAAGTTGTATTTCATTGTTATTGGTATTGTATTGCCATTTTGAACTTGAACGCATTCTATTCCCCCTCTTTTCAGGTATAGCCGTATCTAATTTTTGAAATGCTGACCAGAGTGAGGACAGCTAGTAAGCGAAAATTGCTGACACAAAGACTTTGTTTGATTCAATGAACCGAATAAAGGAATTAAATGTAATTTTTATAACATGCTCACATCTCTGAATGCAGAGCGTGTTCATCGGTATCGTGTCGCGAATCTTGGACCTTTTCTCCGCATCCTGGAATGCTAACATTTAGGCCGGACCCTTTTGACAGTAATTCTTAATGATTACGTTTTATCGTCATACTACAAAATCTCTTATATAGAAAATTAAAAAAAAAAAACTATGGTATTTCTAAAAATCATAGAATTATATTCTTTATATTGTATTCAGCAACCACCCCACTGAAATGTTAGTCTACCATTTCTCTGCAGAACGTCTGATGGGAATAGAACGTCCATCATGTTTCAGAAGAATCTTTAATACGTGTATTGAACGACTGTTATTTGTATGACTATCCTTATTAGTGATAGTGTAAACGGGTCTTCACTGTATTAACTAGTGATCATTTAAGCATATATTTTAATTTTCATAACTACTTATAGTTTAAACCATAATTGTGTCTATCCTAACTAGTGATAATTTAAACGTTTATCTTGATTGTCCCAACTAGTACTAGTTTAATCATTTATCTTGACTCTCCTAACTAGTGATAGTTTAATAAAAATTTATCTTAACTGTCTCAACTAGTGATACTTTAGGCCATTATTTTAACTGTCTTATTAATGTTAGTTTAAGCCTTCATCTTGATTATCCTAATTTATTATTAATTCATTATAGTTTAAACATTTATCTTGACTATCCTTACTAGTGATAATTTAAACGTTTACCTCGATCATGTTAACTAGTAATACTTTAAACATTTATCTTCACTTTTTATTTTGACTATCATAACTAGTTATAGTTTAAACATTTTCTAATTGTCCTAACTAGTGACATTTTAAACGTTTATCTTGACTGCCCTTATTTAGTGATAATTTAAACGTTTATCTTCACTGTCCTAACTAGTGATAGATTAAACGTTTTTCTTGACTCTCCTAACTAGTAATGGTTTAAACGGTTTTCTTGTCTGCCCTAACTAGTGCTAATTTAAACGATTTTCTTGTCTGTCCTAACTACTGTTAATTTAAACGTTTATATTCATTTTCCTAGCTAATGATAGTTTAAACATTAATCTTGATGGTTTAAACATATGTCTTGACTGCCTCAACTAGTTATATTTTAAACCTTTATTTTAACTGTCTTAACTGGTGATAGTTTAAACTTTCATCTTGAGTATCCTAACTAGTTATAATTTATAATTATCTTGACTGTCCTAATTAGCTATAGTTCAAATATTTATTTTGACTCTCTCAACTAGTGATAGTTCATCTTGATTATCCTAATTAGCGATGGTTTAAACGTATATCTTGACTCACCTTACTAGTGACAGTTTAAACGTTTATTTTTATCGGTCTATCTAAGGATAGATTAAACGCTTATCTTGATTATCCTAACTAGTGATAGTTTAAACAATTATCTTGAGTGTCCTAATTAGTTATAGTGTTTAAACGTTTGTTTTCATTGTTGTAAGTAGTGATAGTAAAAACGTTTATCTTGGCTGTCATACTTACTGACAATTTAAATGTTTATCTTAACAATCTTATCTAGTTATACTTCAATTTTTAATGTTTACCTTGTTTATTTTAACTACTGTTACTATAAAAGTTTAGTTTGATTGCCCTAACTAGTACTGGTTTAATCTTTAATCTTAACTGTTCTAACAAATGATAGTTTAAACGTTTATCTTTATTATTTCAACTAGTGATATTTTAACCATTTATCTTGATTATCTTAACTAGTTATAGTTTAAATATTAATCTTGACTGTCTTAACTAATGATAGTTTAAACGTTTTAATTTTCCTCACTAGTGATAATTGATATACTTGTCTTGATTATCTCAACCAGTTATAGTTTAAATGCTTATCTTGACTATCCTAATTAATAGTAATTTAATCGTTTATCTTGATAGTCTTGTGTAGCAATAGTTTAAACGTTTACCTTGCCTTTTGTAAATACTGATAGTTTAAATGTTTATCTGGAGTATCCTAAATAGAGATAGTTTAAACATTTATCTTGACTATCTTAATTATTGATTAAGGTTTATTTGGATTGTGTTTACTACTGATAGTGTAAACTTTTAACTGGAATATCCTAACTTGTAATAATTTAAACGTTTATCTTGACTGTCCTAATTATTGATAGTTTAAACGTTTATTTTGATTGTCTTTACTAGTGATAATTTGAAAGTTTATCTGGCCTACCCTAACTAGTGATAGTTTTAACGTTTATCTTGTCTGTATTAAATATTGATACATTAAACTTCTAACTACTATACCGTGATTAATGATAGTTTGAACGTTTATCTTTAGTATTCTAACTAGTGATAGTGCAAACGTTTAACTCGACTACCCTACCTAGTGATAGTTTAGCGTTTATCCTATCTAGTTATAATTTAAACAATTATCTTGACTATTCTAATCAGTGATGATTTAAATGTTTATCTTGATTATCCTCACTAGTGATAATTTAAATGTTTATCTTGATTATCCTCACTAGTGATAGTTTAAACGTTTATTTTGACTATCCAAACTAGTGATAGTTTAAACATTTATTTTGACTGTCCAAACTAGTGATAGTTTAAACAATTATCTTGACTATCCTAATCAGTGATAATTTAAATGTTTATCTTGATTATCCTCACTAGTGATAGTTTAAATGTTTATTTTGACTATCCAAACTAGTGATAGTTTAAACATTTATTTTGACTGTCCAAACTAGTGATAGTTTAAACGTTTATTTTGACTATCCAAACTAGTGATAGTTTAAACATTTATTTTGACTATCCAAACTAGTGATAGTTTAAACGTTTATTTTGACTATCCAAACTAGTGATAGTTTAAGGGTTTATCTTGACTATTCTAACTAGTTATATTATCAACGTCTATCTTGACTGTCATATGTAGTGATAGTTTAAACATTTTGAATTTCCTAACTATTGATAGTTTAAAACTTTATCTTGACTTAAATAATGATTGTTTAAACGTTTATTTTAATTCTCCAAAATAGTGATAGTGTAAAGTTTTCTCTTGACTATCCTATCTATTTATAGTTTAAACGTTTACCTTCACTGTCCTAACTAGTGATATTTTAAAAGTTTATCTGAAATCTTATAACTAGTGATAATTTAAGCTTTTATCTTGACTATTCTAATTAGTGATAGTTTAAATATTTAACTAGTAGACCCTAAATAGTGATAGTTGTAAATTTTATATTGACTCTCCTATCTAGTGATAGTTTAAATATTTAACTGGTAGACCCTAAATAGTGATAGTTGGAAATTTTATATTGACTCTCCTATTTAGTGATAGTTGCAACGTTTATCTTGATTGCCCTAACTAGTGATAGCTTAAACAACTACTTTGACTGTTTTAACTAATGATAATTTATTCACTTACCTTGACCATTCTAACTAGTAATACTTTAAACTTCTATCTTGACTATCATAACTGGTTGTAGTTGAAATGGTTATCTTAATTTTCCTATCTATTGATAGTTTGAACGTTTCGAATTTAATTTCCTATCTAGTAATAACTTAAACATTTATCTTGACTGCCCTAACTAGTGGTAGCTTAAACTATTACATTCACTGTCGTAACTATTAATACTTTTGACTTTTATCTTTATTGTCGTAGTTAGTGATAGTTTAAAAGTTTATCTTCACTGTCGTACATAGTTATGGTTTATGCATTTACCTTTATCGTCCTAACTAGTTATAATTTAAACGTTTATCGTGTTCATCTTAACTATTGATAATTTAAGCTTTTATCTTGACTATCCTAATTAGTGATAGTTTAAATATTTAACTGGTAGACCCTAAATAGTGATAGTTGGAAATTTTATATTGATTCTCCTATCTAGTGATAGTTTAAATATTTAACTGGTAGACCCTAAATAGTGATAGTTGTAAATTTTATATTGACTCTCCTATTTAGTGATAGTTGCAACGTTTATCTTGATTTCCCTAACTAGTGATAGCTTAAACAACTACTTTGACTGTTTTAACTAATGATAATTTATTCACTTACCTTGACCATTCTAACTAGTAATACTTTATCGTCCTAACTAGTTATAATTTAAATGTTTATCTTGTTCATCTTAACTATTGATAGTTCAAACGTTTATCTTACCTTTCCTAACTTAAGATAGTTTAAACATTTATTTAGATTGTCATAACTGATGATAGCTGAAATAGTTGCCTTGACTGTCCTATCTGTGACAACTTAAACGTTTATCTTGACTATTCTTACTGGTGATAGTTTAAATGTTCATATTGACCAACCTATTTTTGATAATTTAAACGTTTATCATGTTCATCCTAACTATATATGTAGTTCAAATGTTAGTAATATTAGATGACACTCGCGAGCCGGAAGTAAACAAATATCTACATCTATAACACCAGGGGGCGTGTTGCTAAACGATGTTTTATAAAGTTTGCCTTGAGTCAATGAAGCATGCTATAAAACATTCTTGAAAATCTTGGTACATCCCACGATATGGTGCTTAAACCTTCACCACCTCAGAGCATGATCCAATTTCGACAAGGTAGTAGGAAGCATTTATAGTGTGTAATGGCAATAATGTATAGTAATTTTCTTAAAAAGAACAGTGGTGTAGGCATGACCTAAAAAATGAAATAAATAATGCTATAAAATCCTTGAAAACCTCATGATATCATAAGATGTGATGCCTAAACATATGTCATTTAAGATATTTGAAACGACCTCAATTGTATGTAAGTACAGGTTAAAAAAAAGATGCCAAGTACATGACATCATCAATTTCTTGTGTAGGCATACTGCACAATAATGGATGATAATTATAGGTGTGATTGTAAAAAAGAATGGTTGTATAAATATGACCTTAAAACAAAAATCTCATGTGTTTTATAAAACCTGACTTTAGGCTATTAATTGAGCTATAAACTCTACCTTGTTTCATTTTGCCTCCAAACAGTTCAAGAGAGAGAGTGAACTTCGATTATCTATTACATTATGGAAAATACAAAGGTAAGATTAATCCTTGCTAAAATCTTCTGTTCTCTTCACTGTTATGTATGTTGTTTTATACATATTTCAGTCTTATTGATAACCAATAACTATATATTAATAACAACTAAGACATTGCAAATTCATTATTGTTTTTCTGTAACAGGTTTCTAGTAAACTTCCCCACTCACTTATGGTGCAACAAAGTGAGTCATCAGTATATCTCTTCAGGAGACGAACCATATGAATATTATCATGCATATTCACTGAGAAATGACAGGTACACCCATGTTGTTCTATTTAATTATGAATTGAAGATATTCGTCAATATAGAGACTATTGAAATGGCACATTATACCATACCGAAGAAGGTGTAACATTTACGCATATTAAATTGCAATAATTTATACAACTGATACCATCAGTGATTAGGGCCATACATTTGAAATATAGTGAGAACTTTGATCTAGATAATCGTAAATGTACTATTAATATTATATGTGAAGAGTCAAAATGTGTCCATTATGTTAACAACCCAATATAATATTTGCACTTATATATCATGGATTATAAGTTTAAAAAAGTCTGAATGGTATCAGTTATTTGAACAGGTCCATTTTATTTATTTGTATCTAAATCAAATAAAACAAATGGAATCAGAAACAACATCTAATAGCATCAATGATAACTTTTAAAGATTGTTATTCGAAGTACATACTGAACATGTATCCCCTGTCAAAGAAAGGCTTAGAAAGAAAAATTGTTAGGCTTGTGAAGTCGATTATCTCAGATAAGCTGCTCATACAGGCATGATGTTGGATCATGATGAAGTTACCTGGCTATATCTGAAGACTGGTTTGACTGAAGTGGATAAGAACATTATATTAGATGTGTTTCATGATAGAAGTTGTAAACTAAATGTATATGGTTGTAAGAAATTACATCCCATTGATTTTGTTGAAAGTGATGAGTTTATTCAAGAATTATCTGATTTTCTCTGTCAAAATTTATAAGATTAAGTAATTATTCTGTATCAGTATGACAAAAATATTTTCCTGAGATTTGTTTTGTTTCATTATATGATCTACAAACAAGATTATTACGACATAAGAAGATTACCATCTTCCACATAACAAAAAATCACTCTGACAATATCTTCAATTTGAAAAACATTTATTATTCTTCGTACAATAAGGATTCTGATATTTGTTCTACATAAAAAGGTATATCTAGTAAACGTGTTGTTGCATTAAATTGCTCGGTAACAAATTTATGAACAACTATATCTATATTAAATCCAAATTTGGACAATAATTTTTGTTTGGATACGCATCTACACCTGTAATAACCATAATGTATACAATATTGTCCATGTTTCACAGTTCTTTTTGATGAATGTTCTTATGCTGTGAGATTGTGGATACAAGCCATAGGGATCAAATATTCTTCTTTCCTATTTCAACTAAAGTTGACACAAACCCAGTGACTTTTAGGTTTATGACTTGGATCCAAGTTAATGATGTATAGTTGTTTTCCTGCATAATTAGGTAGCTGATTGCTGGCAAACACACCTTCCAAGTTTCTTTAGTGTACACAAATCTTGTGTGAGAATATAATAAATCGCTACAGTGTTCATTGCTTATTTGACATCAGTGATGATGTTTCTGGACTGGTCAGTTTCTAAAAAGAACTGACATTTTGCACAGGCGAGTGTATATCCTTCCAAATATTCGTTCCATCACCTTTAACAATCTTTGCCTTCACATGTAGATACGTTTGTTCCAGTTCTATGTATTCATCTCCCAATCCTGATATAGAAAATTCCATGGGTCTTCTATCAGCTACTGATGAAAGAGGATAATATTCTGTCCACTGACCCTCATCAATTACACAGGCCTGCGAATTTAAAGGTAATAAAAGTTGTTTTGGTTTTAATAACAGATTTTCCGTAATTCAGCTACGTAGATTTCGAAAATATTATTCATTTTTTCAACCAGGTAAGGATTTTTTACAAATCTGAAAAAAGAAAAACTCTTACTTAGATGAAATTATTATTTTGTTTACCACAATGAACATTTTTTTATTATTATATTATATAAAAAGACAAACAAACCGAAGAAAAGGAAAGAATATTGATGTCAAACGAATACGCATCCCCATTCGTCGTCATTTTTTGTGTGAAATCTACGTCTTTTATTCTCAAAACTACATATTGTGATCTTTCTTTTATGTATTGCGTTATGACGTTTTGCGAAAAATATGTATGTGATGGAGAAAAATGGATATCATTTTCGTATTCAGCATACAAAAGTTATTGTAGAACGTAAAAACTTCAAGACAATAAAACTATTGCAGGCCTGTGTTATCGTTTGTGTAGGAGGGAGAGAAAATATATCTAGCTCCTACTTTGTCCACTTACAGGTCTTTTCATGAGGTAGAATGGACATAATTACTTGTCAAAAATATCAGGGATCAATGCTCTCTGTCTCTTGGTTTTAGTGATTCTGAATGCCAGGCCTTTGCATCTCTTCTTTTATTGGGTAGAACAATCTGTGTCAACTCTTAGCTTCTTTTGCACATTGTTTTCCAGCATCAACAAAAGGTTTCTCTTATTTGACATCTAATGCTAAATTTATACCTGATTTAACTGCTTGTTTTCCTAAAGCAAATGCTCCCTTTTTCAGAAAATGATGGCTGAACGAAATAGGTTGCTTCAGACATCTCTCAAACCGTGACCCCGTTGCCATTGACTATATGTACAATGTTTCCCACCTGGTAATCATAATACATGTCATAAATCACTGGGTCATTATAGCAAGGTTCTCTCATGATGACAGAAGTGAAGTGTAATGATTACTCTCCCATGTTCAAATGGTATATGTCATCTATTATATTTATCTCAATATTCTGAAATATGTTTTTAGATACAGCTCTGTAATGAGGTTTTATAAAAAATTTTGTGATTGTGTCTCCATCCTGATCTTTAACTTGAACGATTTATAACAGTGGCATGTGTGTATCACCAAAGATACTAGGTTCCACAATATCTGAGTAAACCTAGAGTGAATAAAATCCTTCATGCATATTAACAGTATGTGCAGCTATAGTGGGTTCTGATATTATACAATTATTCTCAAATCCACGAAATACAGATAATATGGGATCAAATAATATAGTGAATTCCTCTTTCACATTGACACGTTTCTTGTGAATAAATCATAGCCAAATACAGGATATGTGTTGGATTCAAGAGCTAACTCTTATAATTGGTTTAGTATTCTAATTAAATATTTAGGCTATTTGTAATGACCCAGACTAATATAAATGATTTAATTGCGATCATCAGAGCTAGGAAAAAAAGTGATCCATCCTGTACTATTAGGTACATTATGCCAACTATGAGATACTGTAGTTCAACCAAAACAACTTCCCGCAAGCTTTCTAGGTTAATAGATCTCGGAAGATGTTATATAATTCGTCAGAGCATTGCTGGCAAAATAGTTCATAAAACTATTGCTAGGTAACATCACATACAGCGTATCCATGTTGAATAATGGGTAATAGAATTATACACAACATTTTATGATGACTATCAATTCAGATCAGGTTAAGTGATCCAGCTATTAAACTTATCTGGATATCTTTTCCATTTAACAAAATACTGTTTGATTTTACCCCTTCCTCATTCATGTTGTATTTCTTCCACATCATATATATTGTTCGAGGACTTGATAACACATTGTAATTCAGATTCATAAAATGTTTCATCTAATTCTTCTCCGAGATAGTTTTGCAGTTTATACACCAAGGGGTTTCTCTCCAATTTCTTGTGAATTGTAAGTATATGGTCTGTCCACCCAGGCATATATCCTTTCTTAAATTGACGTTTTGCTTTACTTATTCGAACTTGTTCACCCACTTGGAATCGAAATTTCACTTTTATGTGTGGTTTATAGAGTTTTTCCACACTACAGTCTGATTAGTCTATTGGTCTCACTTTAATTCTGTGGTGACACGACCTATTATAGACAATAACTACATTTTTTTAACACCAAGATGTACTTGAATGTTCCATGATGGATAAATAGCGCCACATTTTAGTTTTAAAACTACAATTAAAACGTTCAACTATAGGAACGTTTGTTTCATTATGCATAGTAAAGAAGTGACTGTCTTGTTCCTTGTAATTACACTGAAACAGGCTATTAGTAAGTTCTGTTCCAGCATTGGTTTGAAGTTTACAAGGTTTTCGATGTTGTCTTAAAATCTGTTCGAAGGCCTTTACGAATGTCGCTCCTTTCTTAGTTATGCATATTTCGAAAACACATCAGCAAATACTTGAACTGATTGTTATAGTAACTTAAGTTATGATACAAAATGATATAAACCTTATAACCAGAGCACTTTAAAAAGTGCTCTGGTTACAGTTTTTTTATGATTTTGCAGCTAAAGTGAGATAGATCTACTAAATCAACCTGCCACTGTTCCTGAAACAGGAAACAATCGCTCGGTTTCTCTAATATCTATATCTTACAGGTTTGTGTAATGTATATGTATCTTGGCATCATAACTAGTCCTTGACCTGATTTAGTCTGAAGGCTTTACCTAATGCTTTTGCTGACCTATATAAAGCCAGTACATTGCCGTAACTAGCAGGATGTGAACTATTATAATAAATAGATTGTAGGGTTTTATTCATATTATTTGCTACATCTGAAGAATTTGAAACAACTTTTTCTATTTGGTTTACTGTGTAACAGTAGTTATAATCTTTTCTTTACAGCAGGCAAAATTTCACCATAGCCGACTGATAATATTAATAATCAAGAAACAGGTGCTTATATAATACAATGTTCATTTATTAAAAATGAACCCATTTAGATACAGTTCGTTTGGATCTTTTACAAATACGATCTGCATGCTTCATATACGACCATCTGTTCTACATTTCTATATATATATATATATATATATATATATATATATATA